AGTCACGTAGATGGAAAAGTAACGAGAAGGGGGGGGGGGACACCCCGGAGGGCCTATAAAGAGACAGAGCCGACAACTATGATTAGAGCTTCCTACTGTACATGCTGAATGTGTGTCAGAGTGTGGCTCCCAGATCGATCTGAATAAACTGTTGACGTGCAACTACTCCTCGTCTCTGGTGTGGATCCCTTCTCATCACGGACCCGGAGGGTGGCTGAACCCAACAACAGCAATATACATTGTAAAACAGTTAAATTGAAACTGTAAATGCTGCATTGTTTAAAAAGTTGAAAAGTACTTCACGAAATGGTGAGAAGAGTTGAAGCGCAGGCAATTTCTGGAAGAACTCCTCTCTCGCTTTCCGAACTAACACTGATGAGGAGAAGTTCGCGCCACTGTTGCCAACTCCTCAGCAAAGAAAGTCGCTATTGGCTGTCCCAAAAGTCGCTAAATAACGCCATCGCCTTATTTGCATAATGTGCATGCAATTGTAGGAAAGAGGAATAATGTCGTGGGAGAGACAATTGTTTTTCCATAGATACGTTTAGAACTACAAATGAACTTTATTCTGTTTTTTTATATATCACAATTCCAACCCTCCTCCTACATCGGGGCTTGGGTCCGATAAAAGTGACCCCAAAGAGATACTCTGGCGGAGCCCACGGCAGCACCCGCTTCTCGGTGAGAAGAATAAGAACGATAGCGAAAGTCGCTAAATTTGTCGCTAGTCGCTTTTTTTTAAAAAAAACGAGTCGCTAGAGGGGTATAAAAACTGGCTAAATACAGCGACAGTGTGGCTAAGTTGACAACACTGCCGGTGTTCAGAAAGGCTCGATAGCACGTCTCGATAGGTAGTATTTTTCGACAGAACACCGGCACCTCTTCGTTACCTCCTCTACCTGCTGTCCATATCCTCTTTTCCAAGCAGGAAACCGAAAAAAATTCATGTTGTCGTGTCTGCCATTTCTACCATGTGACTTAGTATGACAGCCTTTCACACAGCACGAGTGTCCCATCTTACCAAAGATAATGCCGCACGCAAATGCTCGCTTTTGCGTTGTAAACAACTAAAATGGCGATTCGACCCACAATACACTGCGCCTATAGCGGCGGCGCAAGGTTAAAGGCAGAGTGCGGACCAGTGTTGCGACTTCGCCAAAGTGAAGTAAGCATGGAAGTTATTCTATAACAATAAAAATATTGTAAAACTGTTTTTCAAGACAAAATAATAACATAGCTTTACAAATCACACTGAAGCCCAGATACAAATTGACAGAACACAATAACAAAAAAATTGGGAAATAAAAGTTCAAACAGCATAAGTAAGATTATTGTTGGCTTGAATTAAAACTGTAACATTTCATGAGCCCTCTTGGACGTTTTTTCACCGCGTAACAGAATCCCCCCCCCCTTTAAGTCTCCTGCTGGCACTAATTTCTTGACTCACTGTAATGAGGAAAACATTTTATGCTTCGTCTAACAACGCAGTCAACACACATTGTTCTTTTTCAATTCAATTCAATTTTATTTATATAGCGCATTATCACAACATTACATTGT